TCAATTAATATTGTATGATTTTAATCCATTACGAAACTATGTGCATTCATTTTTTACTATTATTTCGTTGAATCAGTAAAACAAAATGAATTAATAAACAAATCATAATTAATTGATAGAGTAACTTTAGAATTTTTAATTCGAGACTAACAACATCGTGAGACTGGAAATAATACATCACGAAGCGATATCCGCACTCAAAAAAGCAAGGTTCATCTTTCAGTTACAAAAGATAGCAGTTTATGTCTTTTGGTCCTGATAAATCATTGAATCCCTTTATCTGAAACGACACCAGTCAGAACAAATATATCTGGACATTATTTTCGATGGCAGGAACTAACGGTAAATAAGCCAGAAACAGAAATAGGTGCTATTTTTTGATCTGGTTGTGCGAATTCGTCGGAAACTTCATCGATCTATCCGTGTTCTGCCGTACGTCGTTCATCTAGACAGCTTCATTAACACCATAATCGAAAGCACATCGATTCTTGTAAATAATGTAGCGACAGGTAGAAAATATGAATCTAATTTATCTGTTCTACATGCACACGCTTCTGAATAAAGAATTGATTTTTCTGTTACAATATCTAAAAACTTCGGCATATGATTAAACGATCTTAAAAATTTAATAATAAATATTCCTTTCCAGAATGAATAAACTCAAATATTTTTCTCTAGGATGGTTTCGTATCGGTAGCATGAATAACGTACGAGAGTTACATACAGCAACTGTATTAACAAATGGAAAAGTATTAGTTATTGGAGGGCTTTATGGTATCGATCCTACTATTAGTGAGTTGTATGATCCATCAACAAAAAATTGGGCAATTACTGGTAGCATACATAATGCACGCGAAGGACATACAGCATCTTTATTAACAAATGGACAAGTGTTAGTTACCGGTGGAACACATGGTGTCAATTTAAATACTGCTGAATTGTATGATCTATCAACCGGAACTTGGACAACTACTGGTAACATGAATGATCCACGAGATGGGCATGCAACATCCTTATTAATAAATGAACAAGTATTAGTTACTGGTGGAAATGATGGTTTGAACGCTTTAAATAGTGCTGAGTTGTATGATCCATCAACAAGAATGTGGACAAATACTGGTAGCATGAATTATGCACGAGAACACCATACAGCATCCTTATTAACAAATGGAAAAGTCTTAGTTACTGGTGGAAATGATGGCTTGGGCACTTTAAATAGTGCTGAGTTGTATGATCCGTCAACAGGAACATGGACAAATACTGGTAGTATGAATTATGCACGAGAGCACCATACAGCATCCTTATTAACAAATGAAAAAGTGTTAGTTACTGGTGGCTATAATCGTGATGCTCTCAATAGTACTGAATTGTATGATCTATCAACCGGAACTTGGACAACTACTGGTAACATGAATGACCCACGAGAGCAACATACAGCATCCGTATTAATAAATGGACACGTGTTAGTTACTGGTGGACAGGGAAATTTCCGTAGTTTTAGTAGCACTGAATTGTATAATCCATCAACAGAAATTTGGACAACTACTGGTAACATGAATGATGCGCGATCTCGGCACACATCATCTATATTAGCAAATGGAAATGTGTTAGTTACTGGTGGTTTTAGCGGTGTTGAAATGCTCAGCAATGCAGAGTTATATCAAACATTTCAAATAAATTAATATAATAAACGACTTTTAATGTTGGATACTTTTAATCACTTTGGGGAAGCTAGTGACAGATTCGACTTGTTTCAGTTGAACATTCTCGCACATTAATCTGTGCCTAAGCAGCTCATCAGTGCGTCCTATACAACTCAACGAGTTCTATCCAATTGTGAAATCAGATTTTCTATAACCCAAAGTATGACCCTGAAAATCTCAAAACACTCTTATTTTCTTAAGCCTTTGACTTCGGGAATATCATATGTATATTACGACGAAAGAGAGAATACAGAAGAAGACAACAACAACAACAAAGCGAGAAAAATGAGGTGATAAACTGTTTAATTAGCTGAACAGTTACCGTTAACCATCAGATATCATACATGATATTCCCGTAGCCAAAAAGTTAATGAAATTCTGGCACTATATTCGAGGAAAAGCTGCCTATATTCGCTTCCTTCACTTTGTCAATTCTGAAAATAATTGTGTCCGATGCAGCTCGATGAGCTCTATCCAACGATATACTCAGATCTTCGATAGCTCAAACTATGATTTTCGAATTTTCTCTAGAACCGCCTATGAGCCCAAAAATCATACTTTGAACTATCGAAGATTCGAGTATACGCTGTTGGATAGAGCTCATCGAACTGCACTGGAGACGAGTATTTTCAGAATTGACACAGTGGAGGAAGTGAATATGGATAGCTTTTACTCGAATATGATGCCAGAATTTCATTCAGAAAATACAGTATTTTGAGATTTTCTGGGCCATACTTTGGGCTATGGAAAATCTAAATGCACCACTGGATAGAGCTCGTCGAGTTGTACAAGACACAGGTTAATATGCGAATATTCGTCGAAAAAAGTTGAATCTGCTGCTAACTTCATCGACGTTTCTACTTGATGATCTTCTTGTTTGATCGAATAAATTTATTTTTATTCTTTTCTATTTAGTTCTTTATTTTGTATTAATACAAGGTAAAATAGTTCCTTTGTAATTTTATTTAATATTTGTTTTCTTTTTTATCTCTAGCAATTTTAAAATAAAAACATTGATAAAAATGAAATATTATAATCTTAATTAAATGATAATTCCTACTATGAATGCATATCCGGATAAATGATAAAGTTGCTTCGAAATGAATTTGTTTTAGTAAATCTTAATTAAAATAAGATATTTCATAGAACATAATCATCTTATGATTATTCTGGAATGCTCAATAAGTATTAATCAAACAATTGAATATTATCAACAAATAAATTTGTATTAAACAAACTAATAAGAGAGAATTAATTATATTAATTTCAGTACAATTAACAATTCAATTCGTTGTCAAAATGTTGGAAAGAAGAAAATAACATTGATGAAAATATTTTCATCAATGTTCTAAAATAAAATTTTTTGTTACTTATTTATTTACAATTTAAAGCATAATTTATGGTTGCTTATGTAAATAAAAAATTATTAAATATTCTTATAGATATTATTGGAAATCTTTCCATTTCTTGATACATTTTTTTATGTTTACACGCAGACAAATACGAACATCTGAGAGAAAAATTGATCATTTTGGTTCATTGAAGTTTTTTAGGTAAAGATCTTTTAATTCTGAATGATGATGAAGTAACAAACAGTTTGTTTTCAATCTTAGTTGATTAACTTTTATTTTTTAGAATAATGAAATTATTGATTGATTTTTTTATTCAGTTCAAGATGAAAGTATCAGACATAACACATTATCTTCAAGTTTTTTTTTATGATAATGATGGGTAAGTTTAATAGATTTAGGTTTTTTTCTGTTAGGTTTTATCTTCTTATGAATGATTTAATGTAAAAAAAATATCTTTTTTCACGTAGATCTTTAAAAGATATTGATCACAACGAAACAAACAAATTGATAAAAATAAAGAAAAAGAATTACAATAATAACAAAA